AATATAAGCTTTTTATAGCATTTTATAGTTTTAGATATAAAAAGATGATTTAGATTTTCGCAAACTTTTGAATTTTTGGTCAAAGATGTATGAGAAAAGGTAAAAATTCTCGAATTTACAAAATTTTTGAAAAATATTTTTTATCGTTTTCTAGCGATCAAAAACGACTAAAAATACTATAAAAAACATTATATATTATCCGCAGGCAGGTGTGGTAGGTAGGTATAGGTGGAAAAACCTTTCTTTTTTTATTTCTGTACGCAGTGAGCTTCAATAAACGCGTTTAGCAGTTTTTTTCGTTTTAAAGGTGCCTGGAAGGGTGAAATCATCGATGGAAAACATCCAAACAAAGCTATCTGCCACGCTTAAATTATTTTTCGATTTTCTCCGAATTTTTTTCAAAGCCCCTTGTCAAAAGCATTTTCACAGGATATCCCGTTCCATCCGGGAACGCGCTTTTCGTTGACCCCAGCCGAGTCAGGGGGAGTAGAGAACGGCCCGAAAAACTGTGCGGATGTCCTCGGAAAAAAACTGATAATTATCAGGCAGTCGGGGTGAATGGCCGCCTTCCCACACATTATCATTGGTTTTTTTAGGTGGCGGATCACCGTGGGATCAGCGCTATCAGCCACACTCAGCCGAGAAAAGTTACTCGGCTTTTCAGATGAGGCTTTAGCTGATTTTTGCTGGTCGTAAATTCTACAGTTTTTTTGTGAAGCTGTACAGAAGGTGATTTTTACTTTTTCGCTTCAAACTTTTGCTCGTGGTTGGTAGGTTCGAAAGCTTCTTAAAGCTGTAAACCAATAAAAAATTACTTTTGGTGCTTGCGCATTATCGGGGGGGGGGCCCAAATTTTTTCCTAAAATCCGAGAACCGCCTAGTAATTTCATAGTAAGTATCTTTAATGTTGTTTTAGTAAATTTAACTATATTTTAAGAGAAAAAACAGCAAAGAAACATTAAAAATTTTTGTTAACCGGAATTTTAGTCGAAAATCGGACATTTTTGGCGGAAAAAACGATATTTTTGTATTTTTAATTAATCAAATAAATTAATAATTAATAAATTAATTTTTTAAATTCCTTTTCGACATAAAATTTGAAAAGCTTTACTTTAAGGGAAAGTACAAAAAACAGCTTAGAAACACCTACGCTATTTATATCAACTATAATAATTTTCTTGAGGCGTCAGTGTGTGTGTGTGTCAGGTCGTGAATTCAACTCGAAGGGGAAAGGAGCTAGAGCTTAGGTCTCTTCGGATTCGGATAGAGCGCCATCAGAAACCCCCAAACTGATAAAAAATTACGAAAAAGTTTTTAGTTTAAATTATTAAAATTAACTTTGAAAGTTTTTCCTTAGTAAAAGGGAAGGGGGACGGAGGCTGGGGTGATTTTGGACATAGTGAGCCAGGTCGCGCGCGTTTCGTGGATGAAAATTTTCACGGGGGATTTCATTTCTTTTTTTTCTCTCATTCCATCCGGTCGGTCGTTATTTTCGTTTTTTAAAAGGATTTCGGCTAGGGGAGGTATCTTAAGCCATCGGGAAGGTATTTAGGTAGTTTTTGAAGGGGATTTCGGCTAGGGAGGTATCTTAAGCCATCGGGAAGGTATTTAGGTAGTTTTTGAAGGGGATTTCGGCTAGGGGAGGTATCTTAAGCCATCGGGAAGGTATTTAGGTAGTTTTTGAAGGGGATTTCGGCTAGGGGAGGTATCTTAAGCCATCGGGAAGGTATTTAGGTAGTTTTTGAAGGGGATTTCGGCTAGGGGAGGTATCTTAAGCCATCGGGAAGGTATTTAGGTAGTTTTTGAACGGGATTTCGGCTATCGGGGGTATTGATGGAGGTGGGAAAGGATGTGGTGGAGTGGGACATGTAGGGTAGCCCGAAGGCCAGATGGTTGCAGTCGCGAAGCGACTGTAACCATCTGGTTTAACAAATTAGTTCCTAGGAAACCCCCGATACTGCGAAAGAACCGAAAATTTAGCCTTACGGCTGCTTTTCAGCTTAAAAACAAGTTAAAGACTACCAGAACGATGGAACGCGCACTGTCACCCCGAGGGTGCTGCCCCCAAGAACGCGCAGAGAGGATCGTCATTAGTGGTGTCCCGTATTGGGCAAAGACCCTCTGGGGTTTGGGGCGCCTCTGACTCCCTTCCCCACTTGGCCCTGTGGTATAGTGGCTAGCGCGTCGGACTGTGGAGCGAACCATCGCGGGTTCGACCCCCGACCGGTGCGCAACTTTCTTGCTCTAAACGATATTTCATCGTTCTGGCGGTCTTTAACAAGGTTGTTAAATCTTAAAAATTACTGTTAGACTGTTTTTTTGGTAGAAAATCGGAATTTTTTCCTTTTTCGTTAATTTCCGTTTCACCGGTTCGAGTGATACGCCCGAATTGATACGGGTTACACACGCGCGGCATTACTAGACCAGCTGGGCGGCTCGACATCGTTTTCGCCCTCCTTTTTGTCCTTTTTCGACAACGTAAACGGCCGGAGCGACGTGAAAGCCGGAAAGCCGTCCCGGGGAATCATACTCAACACGACTGCCGCCCTCAATGGCTTGCGCACCGATTATCGATCATCCCCTCCTCCCACTCGTTCTCCCCCTTTGCCGCGGCACCTAATCTTATGGGGTATCAGTTTTGGGGAAAGCGAGGAGCAGCATTGGAGCCGGAGCCGGAAGCTGGAAGCTTTAAGTTTTTTTTTTTGGTCCTTTTGCCTTTTCGGGGGGTATTTTTCTTATTAGTCCAGAACAGCCAGTGACTTTTTAATAACTATTTTAATAGAATACTTTGTACATATTTGTGTATATTTCAAGCGTAAATTTATTAAAAAAAAACTTAAAAACTCTTTAAAAGCCGGGGCTTCGGGATTTTCGTATTTATTACCAAAAATGTGCAACCAAAAACTACAACCACAAAAGCAAAAAAACTACTTAATTTAGAAATTTGGATACTAATGAAAAAGTTGGTTTTGCCTCTCGAGAACCTTTGTTCTTTCGCATTATCGAGGTTTTTCTTATGTTCTTTTTGCTGTTTTCAAGGTCGTTCAACGTTTTTGGTACTTTCCCATTAGCGGGGGGGGGGATTTTTCTTCGCCCTGAGAAGCCAATTTTTCTACGATAAATCGAGGAAATGATGCGAAACCGTTTTTACTGTTCCCAAACCTAAAAACTTTGCCAGTTTTATTCAAAAAAGAAAAATATCTATTTTTCGACCACAAGTTGCCGGTTTTCGACCAAAATTAAATTTTCCAAGTTCACCAAGATTTTTTAGAAAATTTACCACCTGAGATAAGTTAAATTTTAACAAAAAACACTATTAATACAATTACAAACAGGCAGCAGGACTTTAGGAATCTTTCTCCAGTTTTCCCAGTTTTTAATGACGTTTTTCTCAAGAGATTTTTTTAGTCATCAATATTGCTTATTTTATAATTAACGGCAGGTTTTCTACCCAAAAAGTGTTGGCATAGGTTCGAAACCGTCCTCGAATACCACCAGAAGCCGGGGGCTCCATTTTTCGTTTGTCTAGGCCAACAGAGACAATGTGCTCGCGCTCTTGAATAGCCCTCGCTGCTTGGCGTGTGTGTTCCCGGTCCATGGGACACCTGCGGCCGAGGGGCTCGGATGCCCCGATCGGTAAGGGTTCGATTTTTCCGGAAATGGCTTACGATATTACCTTTTTGCGAGTAAACCTTTCTTTTTGTTTGTTATACGAATCGGCAAACAAAAACAAAGCCAATTTGCTGATTTTGATTGTACTGGCGCGATAACGGAGCCAGGGGCTTAAAAAGTATAGTTTCGTGGGTAAAAATGGTTAAAAACGCGATTTTAGCTATACAAAAAGAGCATTTTGTCTAAACGGTGAAAATAACCCGGGTTTAATAAGAAATAGCATCTTTTCAAAATTTATGTGTACCGAGTTTTTGCGATTCATAGCTTGCAGTAGGGCTTTTCAGACTATTTTCTTTTTTGTAAACAAAAATTGTACCTTTTATATTGCGTAATTAACTGTTTTTGCTGTGTCTAGATTTAATCTTCATTCTCAGCTCCTTACTTTCGCGAACACATTTTTTGTTCGGTCTTTTCGATCGTTTTTTTCCCCCGTATTCGAAAGCAAAGCCGGATTTTCTTGTTCATAAACCTAATTGTTTTTTTTCTATTACAAAATAAGCTAAGCCTTCTATTTTTCGACATTTGAATGCATTTTTGCGATTGGTTTTTGCTAGAAAATAAGTTTTAGGCTTTTTTTTTCGCGACTGAGCAGCGTCAAAAAAGAAGTCTAAGCGCCTCAGAATTTCTACCAGTTTTTTTTCCATGTTTTTTCCATGTTAATACCTTTAAAATATCAACTTTTATCAATTTTAATCGAGTAAAATTATGATTAATCGACGGGAATTTTAGTGATTGGGTGGGTTGGGGTGTCCATTCGGGTTCGAGCGGTCTGTTTGCACTACGGACCGTCGAGGCACACTCACCCATCTCACAAGGCAGCCACCGAGAGCGAGAGAGAGAGAGAGAGAGAGAGAGAGAGAGCCACCCTCGATTTTATCGCTTCTCACTGCGCTTCATTAACTCGTAGAGGGCGTTCGTTATTTTAGTACCGTTTTTGTTAAATAGGGCCGGAAAGCATTGTTCATTTTTGGGAGGTTCTTGACCTCGTCATTCGGGACGAGGCCTTCGATCTAGATTCTTAGGCTTAGGCTCAGGCTTGGCATGGGCTTGAGCTTGGGCTTAGGCTTAGGCTTAGGCTTAGCCTGGGCTAGGATTTAGCCTTTTCTTGATCTTCTATTTCTATTTCTTTCTATATGCTTTCCTACCAAAAAACCGCTACGGGGCAAAATCTATGTGAAAAATGTATCCTTAAAATCCATAGCCACGTCCCCTTAAAATATCGATTTTTTTTTTCAGCTTCTTGACGGTTTCGTTTCTCAGCTTGTTTTGCTCGTTTTAAATTTTCTATTTTTGAAGCATTTCGAAGTGTATTTTCTTACAGTTAAATCATGCCGGGTATCCTTGGACCTTCCTCCTCGTCGCGGGACAGCGACGACTTTTCCATCCAGCTCACCGACGCGTCCTGTCCCGCTTGCATGCAAATGTGTAGGGGTTTTTTAGAGAGTTGTGAAGCATATAAGTTTACCAGCTAAAAAGTAAAAGATTCTTTTTTGATTAAAATACCCTCTATTATTTTTAGACAGCGACTCCGAGCCGAAACGGGTGCCTCGCTTACCTCCACTTTGCGGCCACTCGATGTGTACGGAATGTATCGGGAAAGTCAGGTTAGTAGATGCTTATTTTTGATTTCTACGCACTAATAGGAGAGAAACTAGCTCAAAGTCCTTAAAAAGTGTTCATTCAGTTGAAAAACTTAGAATCGAGCTTCCAGGATAAAATTTTTGAGTGGAAAAGGTCATCGGAAAGTTGTTAAAATCGAAAACAAAATTCAGAGCGTGCGTGGTGTGCCGTCGTGGTTTCTACGGTGACTCCACGCACTTTAAGATCAACTACACACTCATGGGTATATTCAACTATGCAAAATAAAACATGTAAAAATTTTTAGGACTCGTCTCCGAGCTGGCCAAGCAGGGCGAGGTCCCCGACTCGACGGCAAAGTGTGCGTCCTGCGAGGGGAGATCCAGGTATCACTCTCTCTCTCTCTCTCTCTCTCTCTCTCTCTCTCTCTCTCTCTCTCTCTCTCTCTCTCCAGTCAAATGTCTAGGGTCGAACGAATGCGGGTATGTCGAACATGCGCCAGGCAGGCAAAAATCGACGTGAAAAAGGCGAAAATCGAGGAGGTAAGCCCTAAAAACGTTCTAAATTCCGAAACTTTCCAGATGACGGCGCATGTCTTCTGCTCGGACTGTGCTATCGAGAAGCATCTTGACAAGAAGCATGATATGGACAAGTATTTGGACTATTATGTGAGTCCAAGATTTTTCTGGTCCTGAAAATATATACAGGAGTTATAAGTTTACTTTTTATAATTTCATAATTTTTAGAATCGTCTGGAGATGCAGGGGATTACCGAGAAAATGAAGAGCGATTTGTGCGGGATTCGGGATACGGTACTCCAGATTGGGGTCGAGTCACAGGCTGGGGCTCAGAAATGGATCCATGTGAGTCGCGCGCTCCCTCTCACTGTTTATCTCTTTGTCCCGCTCTCGCTCTCCCTCGCTCTCTGTCTCTATAGCTGTCTCCCCTCGCTCTCTAGCACCATTTTCAGGAGATGAACAAGCTCTGCCAGGCGGGTACAAAAATCCGGTCCACCGAAGAGGGACACCGTATGCGGGAGCAGGCCAATGAAGAAGTGCAAAAGGTAGGCTAGCAGTGGCCATTCATGGAAAATGACTGGACTGTCCCTTTAAAAGAATTGAAGGGAAGACAGAGAGAGAGAGAGGAGAGAGAGAGAGAGACATTTCTTTGCCTTTAAAACCCCCCTTAACATCATCTTTTAGCTCCAAGACGCCGTAGCTGCCCTGCAAGAAGCCCAGAAGCTTTTTAATGAAATCAGCGAGGTATGGGCAATTTTTAAAGGTAAAAACAGGCAGTCTAGCAGAGATTCTTTAGGAAAAGACCATACTTCTTTCAGGAAAGCCGCTTAAATCTGCGAAAACAAATGGACGACCTCCGACAAGTGCGGCGTAAAGAGCGTGGCCGCGGAATTTTCGGGCGTTTTGGCGGCTTTTTCTACTGGAGTTTGACGACCAGGAAGAAGGTAGCTTATTGATAAAATCGTACCTTCAATCATAAAATTCAATATAATTTATAGCCAATATAAAAAATTCGAAAAAGCATGGTTTAGGCAATAGCAGCCCCGGAAGTCAGCCAGGATTCTGGAAGCATCGTGTCGGCCGATAAGACTTGATACAGTGTTTTTATCTGTTTTGTGATAGTTTGAATTTCTCTCTCTTCTCTCTCTCTCTCTCTCTCTCTCTCTCTCTTCTCTCTCGCTCTCTCTCTTTCTCGCTGATTATATGATTTTTGGGTGCCATTTTGCCAAGTGAAATTCGTTTCTCGGGTGTTGCGCAGAAATGAAGACCTTTTCACTGGATTCGACGCAAAATAACGATACACAACGAAAGAGAGGGAGAGAGAGCGAGAGAGTGTATGTGTGAGAGATAGAGAGCAGAGAGTCAGTGAGAGATAGAGAGCGAGGGATAGCGAGAGAGTGAGATAGTGACAGACAGATAGAGAGAGACGCACAGAGAAAGACGAATGAGCGAGAGCGAGAGAGAGCGAGGGAGAGAGAGGGACAGAGACAGAGAGAGACAAAGAAAGATAGACAGAAAGGGTGACTTTTTGAGTTCCTAGCCCCTTTAAAACAGTTTCTTCTGACCAAAAAGAGCCCAAAACGGGTTCCCGGCGCGCCAAAACTGTGGCCATCCCCTGGTAGGGCGCAGGACTCGAATTTCTCTGACAAAAGGTAGACGCGCCGGGGCGAGTTTGTAGGGACCCTTTTTGGACGCCCCCGTTCGGCCAGGCCAACCGCTCGGTTCCTGGCGACAAACCGTGTCAACACTTCCTGCAAATTTGGCAGGTTTTCGATTTTTAGATTTTCCTGGCTCGGGAATAGCTTAAGTTTTTGCTTTAAAGGGCCTTACAAGGCTTGACTATTTTTCAAGCTAGCTTGAAAAATTCACCTTTTCAAGTGAATTTCGATGGCTTCGACACCAGAAGAAAAGAAGCTCCTCACAAAATCGATACCTTGGAAGCCGTCATTGCCAAAGAATTCTCGTACATCCATGGCGAAGTGGTCGAGGAGGACGAGGAGGAGCAAAGTGTGATTTTTTTGCTTTTTCTTTGTTTTATTAAGACTGTTTTCAGGAGCCTGAAGATGGAAATAACAATCAAAACCCGGAAAAGGATCTTCAGCAGCTTTCCGGGACTATTGGAGCAATTTTGTAGGTCCTTAAATGATTTTACAGTTAGCTAAACCTTCCGAGATTCCAAAATTATCTCTGCTTGCCTGCCCCTCAATTTCCCCAAAAATCTCTGCTAGCCTCCTCCTGAATTTCCGGAAAAATCTCTGCCTGACAGGGATTCAAGCTACTCTAGTTTTTCATCTTTTTATTTGTCCGTGGCATGCTAGCAGAGGCAATTCGCGGAAACTATCATACCCTGATACCCCGGGTTTCAGATTCCACAAAGAGTCTCTGCTAGCCTGATCCTAAATTTCCTCAAAAATCTCTGCTAGCCTGCCGCAAGTTTAAACTATTCTAATTTTCAAAAACATCCGAGGCAAGCTAGCAGCGAACATTTGCGGAAAAAGATCATGCTTTGCTAGCTCGGCGAGCTGATTCCAAGGGAGTTTCTGCTAGCCTGCTCACGTCAGATGCAAGCTGGCAGAACCCATTTCCGGCAAAAATTAAACACTGCTAGCTCGCGCTTCGTTCCACAATGAATCTCTGCTAGCCTGCTCCTTCATGTCCCAAAAGATCTCCGGTAGCCTGCCCTGAATTTAGCTATTCTCATTTATCGAAATTTTTTTTATCCGAGGCAATCGAGCAAAAACCATTTGCCCAAGAACACATTATTTATCCACCTGTAAGCGTGAGAGTATTTCGAAATGCCGTCGCGTCAGTTGTGGACATCATTTCGCGTATTGGCTGTGGGCCTAGGGGCTATCGAAAGTCTCCCGCTTTTTTCCTGTGTGTTTCGGCCCCCTCATGTGCTGTAAGAATGCCGCGGGCTCTAGGCTTTTCGGCGTTTCGCCCTCGTTTTAGCCCGCCCCTTCCTGGACCGGTTAAAAAACAGCACAAAAAGGGCATATTGGCAATTTATTTAATTTTTGCTTTCCTGATTCTTTCGTTTTAAAAGGTATTTTAAAAGGATTTGGCGATTTTATTTACATGTAAATTTGTTTTATAGGTTTTAGCGATCGTGATCTCTTGAGACTCGTGCTCCTTCAGAAATTCATGCTCCTTAGAGATTGATCCTTTTAAAGCCTGATGCTCCTATTAACGACTCAAGCTCCTTTTAGAAGCTCACGCTACTTTTAAAGCCATGCTCCTTGAGAGTCTCATGCTCCTTTCAGAGACTCGTGCTCCTTAAGAGACCCATTATCTTTTCGAGACTCATGCTCCTCTTAGAAGCCGATGCTCCGAAGTCATAATACCTTTAAGAACAGAAAAAGAAATAAGAAGTCTAGGCAACCTTCCCCGGCTTTTTCTGACCTCTAACTCCCAGCTCCCAGCTCCCGGCTCCGTGTGCCGATTATCGGCTCCGAGAACTTATTTTTTTGCTCCTGGCTTCCTCTAAGCTAGCTAGCTCGGGCTTTCAACGTCCCTTTAAAATACAAGATTAAAATATCCTCAAAACTCACTTCAGAAACGACGAAAAAATGCCGTACACCACCACCACCGTCGAGGAGCGGACCGAATACTATGCTCCGCAGAGCAACACCGTGCAGCTTGAGATGCCCGATGTTAGTCTTTCTCATCGAAAACACCCCAAATACCGACTTTCAAAAGACCGACAGCCGAGAGGCTGAGATCTAAAATACCGACAGCTTAGAATTCCGACATTCAAAATACCCAGCCGACACGGCCGACACCCAAATGCCGAGTGCAAACGAGTGCACCGAAATGCTCTCGGCTTTCTTTTCCCTTTTCCGCTGTCGGTATTTTCGATAAGGGTCTTGTTGTCGGTATTTTAGCTGTCGAAATTTAGTGTCGGAATTTTCGTTCCAACCCCATCATGTATGCTTTTTGAACGACCGAATTAACGTTTTTTCTCAGATGGAAACCTCGTACCTGAAGACGCTTGGCGGCATTATGAAAATTGTTTGCATTGTGGGTTTTATCGCAAAAAATTGATCTTAGAATAATTTCAGGCTCTATGTTTGCTCACGTTCCTTTGCGTACTCATCGGAGGACCCGGATACTATTCAGGTTCGTCGAAATCAGTGGAATTTCCAAGTTTTAAAACCCTCTTTTGCTAGTGTCTTTTTCTTCAAAAAGAGTTTATTGTTGTTTTTAAATTAATTTCTGAATTGAAATTCAACTGCCGCGATTTTTTAACGGGACTTTGAAAGCTGCCCCCATTTTTGCAAAAATAGAATTTATTCTGAGGGTTTTCTGGTATTTTTCATGGTGATCAAGAAACTGTTCATCTTCTAAGTTTCAGGAGCTGGCTGGGCGACATTCGTGTCTACAGTTGGCCTCTCTATCACCACCCTACTCCTCTTCCTGTACGTCTTCAAGGTGGTCGACTCGGTGCCGCAGATCAATTGGATTATTTGTGTAAGTTTTAAATGGTGCACTTCATAGATTTTTTTGACAACGAGCAGTTTAGAGTTGGAAAAACGAGCGAAAAAGTGGCAAAGCAATTCCCGCTTTAAAAAGTTAATTTTTATGTATTTAATTTTCTTCTAGGAAATGGTGTACACGTTCATCTGGACGATCTTCTTCTTCATTGCCGGCTCTGTGTTGGCCGTAGCGTCCGTACAATACGCCCAAACGGCCGGCTGGGCGATCGCTGCGGTAAGTCATTAATGCAAAATCGATAATGGCAAGCTAGCAGAGATTCTGTGAGGAAAAGTGGCTACACATAGAAAATTGGAGAAAAATTCTTTTAGTATCTGAAAATACTAGGCTTAGGCTTACAGTAAAGTGTCCTGGATAAAGTAGGATTTTTAGATGAGACCAAACTAAAGCCTCCCTTAGAAACGGATCTTAAATAGCTCCAAAAAATAGCCAATTCAAAACTAAATAGAGCAAGCTAGCAGAGATTCTGTGAGGATTACAATAACACTAAAAAATTCTCTGTTCCAGTTCTTCGCACTAGCCGCAATGTGCGCCTACGGTTTCGACTGCTACCTCAAATTCCTGCAGTGGAAACACAACGAGGTGGGTGTCAAGAGGAGCTTACCGACCTTCAGTTTTTCCCCTTCCATCGTTGAATTTAGGGACTGGAAAGCGGAGCCTAATCAAAATGGTCAAAATTTAGGTGGCTACCGGCCGCGGCAAAGCCTTCTTCCAACCGTCCAGTGCCTGAAAAAAATATTATTTTTTGCAGCTTTTCTTGGGTTTCATAAATGTAATGTATTGTGACAACTACCGTACCTTACAGTCTTACCTAGTATTATCCACGTCTACAGTAATCCAAGTACGGCAACCTACAATTTACGGTGATTTTTAGGCGTAAAACCCCGAAAAATATCGTTGTATTTAATTTTGAAAGCCGTAAAGAATAAAAAATGGGAGTTTCGATAAATAGCGAGATTCCACAAGGTTCCCCCGAACGGCCATCGCCTCCGCTCTAGGCTCTTAGGGCCCTAGTGGGCCCTAATTAGGCCAGGGGCCCAGGGAGAGGAAGGGATAGAGGAAGAGTTGGGAGATGTCACGTGCCACATTCTGAAAGCCTCACCACCACATATCGGCTATCCTCCATTTTTCCGCTTCACCAGAGCTCTTCCTTCTCCATCCAAAACTAGGCTCTTCCAAGAGCTTGCAGAAAATTGCGGGCGCGTTTTAGCGGCGCGCTTAGGCTTGGCTTAGGCTTAGGATTCGCTTATACTCGGCTTGGTCTCAAATCTGTTAGGCTGAGCTCACGAAGCTTACTGAGATAGACAGCAATGCGAAACTTGAAATTGCTATAAAACGGTAAGAATTTGTAATTTTCTGTTGTGTTACTTGTTGCTCAAGCTACCGTAACCTCCGAAGCCCTACGTGCTTTCAGAAAGAAGGTGAAAAAACGCAGAACCCCCCTCAAAGTCCCTCAAAATCGCGCGCTTCCTCCTCTCCAGCTTTTCTCTATTTGTCACTGCATCTACCGTACCCCTCTTCCGGTGTTCCATATTTAGATGTTCGTCGCGGAAAAAGACGTTTTCCTCCTCCTTCCAGCGGTCACGCTCGATTTTTTTGGGGTGCGCGATAATCGTGTTCTGCCTTGTTTGCCGGGGGCCACCACCCCCCGCTGGGGGCTCGTTTTCGCGATTTCATCCCTTGGGTCCCCGTCGGATTTTTTTGAGTCTTCTTTTTTTAAAGGGCCAGAATTTTCTAAAAGCATTTAAGAAAGGAAATGGCTTGGCAAAATGGCGATTGCACAGAACTTGACAGAATTTAGAAACTGGAATATGGAATATTGGTTACCGTAACCCTTAGAAAGCTTCAATAATATGAGTATTTCCGGTTTAATATCGCATAACATCTCATGAATTGCTACATCAGGGCGAGAGACAGAGAGGGACAGAGAGAGCGAGAGAGAGAGAGAGAGCGAAAGATAGAGAGGATGATTGCCAAGACTTGCCGGTCCCTTTAACCGTCCCTTTCTGCACTTTAGGAATTTTCCAAGTTATTTCTAGTAAGGGGGAGAACCTTGAGAATCCATTTCCCGAGGGGTTTCAGAAGCTTCTTCCAAGGCCAAAAAACAGCAACGGCTCGGCCCTATTGTGTCCTAAAGCCCGGAGCGCGTTTTTGGTGGAAACGTCATGAATATGGGAGCGGAAAAGAGAAGGGTTTTTGAAGGGAAGGAGCCGGCAGCATTTTTTTGAAGCTTTTTGAAAAATGAATGCGCAAAAATGAGCCCAAAATTCACTTAAAATTGGTGTTATTTTGGCTACAATGGGTGTTAATACAAACCTGACTGAAAATTGAAGCCAATGTCGAACTTTTCAAAACATTGCCCTTTAAAAATCTCAAATTATCATACAAATATAAAGTTATGTTTATAATCCAAGCTGGACTTAGAAAAAGCTTAAAACTTGATAAAAATTTCCGTTTTCAATTTTTAAATGAATTTTTCGAACTTTTTGAATTTTTGAATTTTTTAACCGAATTTTGTTGATTTATCTGGCGTAGTATTCTCAGCGTTTTTTAAGGCTCTATGGATTTTTCAGTTATTCATGAATTCATATTTATGCATTCCTCAGCTTGGCTATAAATTCATGCCCTGCCCTGGTCACCTTTCGGTCGCCATAGCAATCTAGGGCTTGGGGGAAAAGCCTTTTCGGGCCCCAGCTTTTACCTTCGATCCCCCAAGGTATTTTCTTATTTTCCGGGCGTAATCTGTCAAAATTGATGATATTGGTACTTTAATTAACTTTTTACTCTTTGTTGCTTGTCCTCAATTACCGCGAACTCGCGCAGTTCAGGGCTGATGGAGTTCGATTCAATTTTGTCGAAAACCTGGAAAAGGAGATTTTCGAAAATTTGGATAACTTTTTTGCATAGCTTGATACTGATTTTCAAAATTAGGAGCTTCGCAGTGATTTTCAAAATCGTGATTTTCCGAAAAATCCCTTTCGAAAATGCGCATGAAAATCGTTAAAAATGCCCTGAATTTTTTGCTGTCACTCTCCCTTTAAATTTAGATAGAAGCATAAACTTGGAATTAAGCTTAGATTTGTGAAAACTGACGACTTCAATAATCTCAAGAAGTTCAAGGAGTTCACTGCCGTCTTTCATTTGCCACGATCCCTTTAAAATATCGTAATAAGTAAAATTCAAGGAGTTCAACGAGTTCAAGGAGTTCACGGCTGTGCTTCTAGCGTCACCCTCCCTTCAAAATCTCACTAAATTTATTAATACCCACTTCCTTGTCTTTCCCGGTGAGGATGACTTTACTATTATGGTTTCCAAAGCCCTCTGTTTTTCCAGGGCTCTCCTTCGCTGGGGGGGCAAGCATCAGATGACTTTTCATCATCCGCCCCGGGTGGATGTTCTAAAAGCGTCCCACTTCAGGGTGTCAGGATATTAGTATTTGGCTCTCCCGGAATCCCCGGCATATCCTCTCGACGGCTTTCCTGGATTATCCGCTCTACTCAGCTGCTTTGTCAAGTACCCACGAGGCGGAGAATACTTTTTTGGATGGATTTTGTAGTTTCTATTTAAGGGTTTGTAGTTTGTACTATGTAGTTTGTGGCTTCATTTTTTGTTTTCATCAATAGCTAGTTTTTTAGTCGTTACACTTCTTGGGTTTCGTGGCTCTTTGAGCTTATAGGCTAGCAAATTTCCTTAGGAATCACGGATGTCCGAAATTCGGCTCGATTTTATTAGATTTGTAGTTTGTATCACGCTTCTAAACTTTGTAGTCTGTAGTTGGTCGCCTGACATTTCTAGCTCTCTTTTTAAGCAGCTACAACACCAGATTTACTAGCGTGGGCTAGCAGAGACCACTAGGGATCGTTAGGATTCATACCTTTCTTCAATATCTTGATTTTTTGTAGTTGCATTTTTATACAATACTGTAGTTTAGAAATTGTAGTTTGTACTCTGTAGTCCATTTTTTGTAGAATAGACTCTTGAGGAATTCCGTGCATTTTAGTTAGACAAGCCCCCGGGATGCTAGCAGAAACCTTTGGGGAAGATAGCGGAATTTTGAATTACGTTGCAATTTCGGTAGGGTAGGCTAGCAAAGATTTTTGCGGAAAGCTATTTTTTGTGCTTAGTAATCACAATCCAGAGTCCGCTAGCAAAGATTCACGTGAAAAATAGGCCTTTTCTAGTCAGCTAGCAGAGATTCTTGAGGAATTTGGCCATTTCCGGAAATTTTTGCGACTACAGTATTCGGGCTATCTGGCAGATTTATTTTAGGAAAATCGTATACATCGAGCATGCACTCACTCGGCTTTTCAGCGGGCTAATCTCAATCCCCCTAGATGTGCCACGAGTTCTTTTTTGTGGCCCCCGTAGAGTGCACATCGTCTCTCGCTCTCTCTCTTTCTCTCTCCGGTCTCTCTTTTGTGGCTCAGCTGCCGGGGTGGGTCCCCCGTTCCGTTCCGTTCCGGGCTCTAAAATACGGCCTTTTTCTAGTCGTTTTTTGAGCCCTCCCGCCCATAAGCCATCGATGACATGAAGAGCCCTGGGCCATGGGCCATGGGCCCAACTTTGGCCCAGTTTTGAGCTTTGTTGTTCGGTTTGATTCTAAAACTTTCTCTGCTATCCTGTCATGCGCTACCATTTCCTAAATGAACACTGCTAGTTTGCCTTGCTATCTGAAGATCCTAAGGTATATTTGCTAGTTTACCGTTTCCTAAAAGGTCGCTGGTAAGCTCAATATGTCCTAAATCATCGCTGCTATATGGCCCTCTAACTTAAAATTCCTAAAGAACCTCTGCTAGCCAACATTTCCTCGTTGGTCTCTGCTGGCCTGCCCTGCACTTCAAAATTCCTATAGGATCTCGACTAGAGGACGCGTTTCCACAATGATCCCTGCTAAGCTGCCCCGCACCTAGGATTCCTAGAGGAACTCTGCTAGCCTACGCTTTCCTCATTGACCTATTCTGCTACCTTTCCTCGGTTTCCTCAATGCTCTCTGCTAGCACGCCCCTGTTTCCAAACAATCTCTACTACCTTCCTAATCCGCCAGTCATTCTAATTTAAGGTGAGTGCAACCTCCAAGGCAAGCTAGCGTAGATCATTCAGAAATTTCAACCCTTCTCGCCCCAAAATGTTCAACAACAAAATTCCGCACGGCTATCTGTCATGGCAGGTGCAAGGGACTTTCCGCATTTAGACTTTCGCTATTTGGCCAAGGGTGCCGGTAAATATTTCGCATTTCCCGGAATGGAGCGGGCAGGTGGAGGGACATTTTTGGGTTTACAGATTCCTCAAGTATCGCTGCTAGCTGTCATTTCACAATGGGTTTTTGCTAGCTGTCTCGATTGAGAAAGACCTAGTCAGAGGTTTAGGCTTAGGATTAGACTTCGGCTTAGGCTTAGGCCTAGGAATAGGCTCAGGTTTTTTGTCTGTTTTTTTTTGACAGAGGAGAGGGGGGAGTGAGAGAGAGAGTGAGTCAGAGAGAGAGAGAGAGCGAGATAGAGAGAGAGACCGTGAGAGCTACAGAAACATGAAAAAGCCAAATGACTGTGTATTGGTGTGTTGAGTAGTGAAGTGGAGGGTCCCATGAGTACCCCTCCACTACTACCATCCGCTGGCAAACAGTAGATTCCCCAACAAAAAGCCTCACATCCCCCGCAATCTGTTTTTTCATCATTCCTGGCTGGTTGGCAATCGATTCATGGCTTCAGTATACCTTGAAAAGTTACAAAA